TCCACTCTTCATGAAGAACTAGGCTGCCAGATCCCATGCCAAATAAACCCTGCATCTACATGGTTTATTTACCTTTATGCTTCTATTGGTTGGGCTTGTGATGTGTCCCTCATCCAATTTAGAGCCGGATTATATTTTTGGGTTCAGGAGTTCTTCAGTTAGGCGTGCGATGTTTTTGTTAATCAGACTCTGTGTTGCCTATGCCCTTGTGGTGCCAGATATAGGCCTCTGTTTTTGTATCATAAGTTTTATAGGACATTTAATTTTCTCCCATGGCTAGTGGTTAGTTTCACTGTTTCATGCATCGGGAATTTTATGTTCCTGTGGTGGCTGCTACACTGAGTGCTGGTGGACCTTGCTTGGGTTCACCCCATCCTAGTGACAGACCCTTGTCCCTACCTTACTTGTTTGAACCCACTCTCATCTATGATTTTTTGTGTGTGTTTGGACCACAATTTCTTCCAATTCTCGCTCTTGTCAATTCCACCTGTCAGTTTGGTTGGGTAGTTAGTTCAGATATAATGTATCAAAGGTTAGCTTTCCTAATTATCTACACGTTAGGTCACTCTGTCTCTCTTGGCCCTACTCAGACCCTGATTGTGCTGCCTGCCTCCTTTACTTGCAGCATTTTCTCCACAAAATTGTACGGGAGTTTTTTTGTACTATTTTTGGTTCCCATGTGGCCACCTCCTTCCCTACTAATATGGGTTCTCTCACCCTCAACCTTCTGTTATACTGTTGTTTCTCCTGTGCTTGTCTGGCCTTCTATTACTGCTGTTGGCAGCTCCATTATACCCTTTGTGGGGGGCCTTTGCTGGTGTTAGCTTGCTTGCTCACACTTGCAATGAGCTATTGGTTGCTGGTGCCATTTGCCTTTCTTTGGGGGTTATGAGGGGCCACTTTTGCTGGCTATCCATTTTTTTTCGTGCTCTTTGATGCCCCTCTTTGGTGAAGGTCATGGTTAATGGTCAAGGTTGTTTGGAGCGGTTAAGAAGCCGAGAGACTCGAAATGCTTCTAAGAATGGCTGATGACCCATGTCTTGTCATGGGGGGGGGGTTTGATCCAAGCACTTTAAGTCTTTTGTTGTTCAGGGTGGGGGTTATCCGTTATCCAACAAGCCTGTTTTGCTTTCTTCTCCTCAAACATTCTTGGAACATTTTCAGGTGTCTGTGAGCATCCGTCTTCTGCTACTGGGTTTCCGGCTACTCATTTTTTTTTCTAGTTTGACCTGCCCTACTATTTGGTTGGCAGTACATGCTGGCTGTGGGTATTACCTGCATTATTTAGCTGGTATCATTTGCCCTCTTGCCTGCATGGTGTTCCTTTCTTCTTCCCTGCTGGGCTGCATTCCCAGGGTTTTCGGCCATTTTGTCTTCTGCTTTTCTCCAGACTTGGGGACCCTCGCCTTTCCTGTGCCCTGCTTTTCTGCCTACTTTTCCCAAGGGTAACCCATTTTCAGTCTTTGTCTAATTGTATGATCTTTCTCTGCAAAGATGTCCTCACCAATGCTCTGTTGTGAGCTTAGGGATGCTACTGATGGGGGCCAAGCCAGATAACAAGTGTTGAATGTAATGAAACACCTCTTTTTGAGCAATCCCTCAAGTAGCTTCAAGTTGTTTCCCTCTGTCATGTGGGACTTAAAGTTCCATACTGGCAGATCTTGAATGAGTCATGGACTGAGACCCAAGATGACATGGTTGCCACCTGGTAGTTGCCAACGAGTTGAGGCAAGAGTTGTACACTCATTGCCAACTATAAATTGCATATAAGAACATATAAGTCTCACATTCCTATACTTTAGACCCGCTGCGCACCGCAAGATAGCCGGAGAGCTCACCACCGCACAAAAATGTTTATACTCTTTTCAGCTTTCTGACTCAATTTCTGTGCTACGTTGTTCAATTTGGTATCAAATTGTTTGCAATAGAATGCTATAAAGGGATATTTGTATATAAGAACATATAAGTCTCGCTTTTCTATACTTTCGACGAAAATTCAATAACTTTCCCTCATACGTGTTTCTTTCAAGGCTTTTTTCATGGATTGGCTCTGTTCTTGATCAGTATCCATCTGGAAATCAATTTGCAATGTTTATAAAGCCGTTAACAACAAATACCTGAGATAAAATAACCAGAATGGGGAAAATTTTGACTCGAGGGGAGGCCACGACTGTCACAAGCATGGTCACGAGCATGGTACGAGCGAAGTCATGAAAACAGTGAGCCTCCAGCATGGGTGGCCGCCCACACGGTGGGGTCAGGATGCCACGTGGGATATGCAGAGACAGGGCAGAAGTTGGCACACATTTTAAAACAAGTCCCATAATATTCGGACAATAAATGGAACTTCTACAAATGTTTAAATTATTTACGCCTATTGGGTCAGCCCACATACTCCATATTTTGGTTCCGTGACGGAATATGCGGCATCAGGCAACGAAAGTGTTAATCCCCCACCACTTGATAATGGTCCAGGACGGACCGGAACATTGTTGTTTCTCCATCATCTGGTGTGTTGTTTGGTCATCAGCATCGTAATAGTTAAACTATAAAAATTAGACCTCATCTTCCCACAGTCACTGATAAATACACCACAGCACATTTAAAATAGAAATATACAAATTTAGCAAATTAATGCATTCTGTTGGGGACAGGAAGCCTGTGTATACATTTTAGGCTTGCATTGAGGTCTCCCCAAGGTTGAACTGCTGTATGAGCTCATTTATCCGGACTATAAGGAAAGGACCCCACCCCAGAGAAGCCAGACACCCGGATAAGCAAAATTCTTACCGGGAAAGCTTAAAAATGAGCATTCGCAATGTTTTGTACCAAAACCAATATAATTTGAACTTCCACACACTATAATTAAAAACAACTACTATAATTTAAAACAAACTTCAGCTTACTTTAGGGAGCCAGTCGGCCGAGCGGACAGCATGCTGGACTTGTGATCCTGTGGTCCTGGGTTCGATCCCAGGCACCGGCAAGAAACAATGGGCAGAGTTTCTTCCACCCTATGCCCCTGTTACCTAGCAGTAAAATAGGTACCTGGGTGTTAGTCAGCTGTCACGGGCTGCTTCCTGGGGGTAGAGGCCTGGTCGAGGACCGGGCCGCGGGGACACTAAAAGCCCCGAAATCGTCTCAAGATAACCTCATGAGGTTATCTTCTTCTTCTTGAAAGAGATTATTCTCAATCTCAAATCTCACCTCAAGACATAATCTCAATCTCAAAATATACCAATCTTGATATACTCAATCTCAAGATATACAGAATAATCTCACCTCAAGATATACAGTACAGAATAATCTCACCTCAAGATATACAGTACAGAATAATCTCACCTCAAGATATACAGAATAATCTCACCTCAAGATATACAGAATAATCTCACCTCAAGATATACCCTGTTGCAGTTCATCTTGATTGATGCTGCACATCTTGAAATCAATAATTCTTCAAAATTTATGTAACCTAACTTAAACACTAAAATTACTGCACAATACATGAGCTTGGTAAGGTCAGTTTTGACTGCCAGCTGCTGAAGCTTCACTGGTTGAAGGCTCTTGGCTTACTTGTGAGGCTTCATAGGGAAAGCATCCAGAATGTCAGTGAACCAATACAGACTAGTGCTGGTTTAAAAGATCTGAAGCCTTGAAACCGCCAAAGAAACTCCCCCAAGCAATGTAAACAAATGAGTGAATAATCTCTCAAAACTAATGTGAGCTCGTTAGCACTAATCCCTACCAGTAAGGATTGAAGGATGGGATGGAACTATCAGGAGAAATACCAAGTCATTACAACTAACCAGTATGTAGCCTTGGAAGGGATCAGGATAAGGATTTGGGATGGGTCCAAGGAGTATGAATGGTGTCCCCCCTTCATAGAAGGAAGGGGGGTGCTCAACCACTTGGACAGCTAGGAATAGAACACTGACCTGCATGAAGCGAGGCTTTCGCTCTATATCTCTGGGGGAGGAACTCCAGGTCTCCCCCCCCAGCCTTCCATGCCAGTTCTGGAGCAGATGTGAGGATCACAAACACCAACCTATGAAGACTTCCACTTTTGTTCCAGCAATATTTATTGCACTTGCTGGAAGAAAATACTGAACAATCATGGACCTCTGCTATTCATACAGTATTTTCTAATTGTGCCTATCGCACCTTTATTTTCACTTGTACATTTGTACAAATTCAGATTTATTACACCAGTGAACTAAAGTATTAAAAATGCAGAAAAGGTGCCATTTTTGAAGAACGTGCTCAGGGGGACTGCCCCCCCTCTCCATGGATACACCACTGAATACAGGCATGATGAGGCCCTGGGTATATTAACTAAATACTGGGCCACCAAAACCCCATACCCAAATATAAGCCCAGGGCATGCTAGCAAAGACCACCATGATTCTAACATACTTATGAACATCATGGGCCTAAGGGTAAACTGCAGGCTGGCTGGACTTAACACTCTGGACAACCTGAGAAACATCATCCTTGGAACAGGGAATAAGGAAGAGTTAACCCACAATGCTCCCACCGAGGCAGATTCAGTGGCACGGAGGCAGTGGCAAAGAGCTACCACTGGGTACAGCACATATTGTACCCTGACCGAACTAATCAAGCATCAATCACGAAAGGACCACTTTAGAAAGCCGCAGACTCATTCTCAGCCAAAAAAATGGAGATGGCTGCCTGGTGTTGGTAATCAGTACTAACAAGTTTTAGCTATTTTGAGTGAATTCCTTGATCTGTGGAAATCGTTTGCGGAGTTGTTTGACGATTTTAAGACTTGGGTTTTCTGTAAACCCTTCAGTTGCATATAAAGCTTCACTGACTTTCTGGAGTTTTTTTCAGTGGGGAGGCAGATTGTTCCTCAGTCCCTGCACCTCTGTGAGGTGGGGCCAGGTTCTGGGTCTAGTTCCTGGTAAGCCAAGCAGAACTTCCATGATTGATATGACCTTTTAGAATGGAGCAATCTCAGCAGGATAGCTTCAGAGAGCTACAAGTGGGATTCCTCCAGAAATAGCAATACAGAAATAATATACACACCTCCTTTGCTAGGATCCAAAATATTCTTGTCCATAGGAGTGTGTACTACCAAGAAGTTTGAAGAAGGCACACTGTCTGGCTCCCTGAAACAATTAAGATGTATATAGTAATGCTTTCTGTAGTAGTGCCACCTCCAGTCACTGAAAGTGGCACTGCTATATATTAAAAACTCTGGAATAACAAATGGTTTAGTGATAAAATGGAATAATCTCTTACTTGTTAATGATAAAATAGAATAAAATCTTACTTGTTCAGTGATAAGACATCCAATTCACACTCATTAGTGAGCCAACTAGGATGATCCAACAAGAGTGACACGTCCAGCTCTTGCACTTCACGGACAGTTGCAACAGCCATCAAGCCTGCGTTTACCTGAACAAGAACAAATTATTCAATATAAAAGTAAGCACCAGTATTGAATGTAATGAAACACCTCTTGCTGGAGGGGCCTTGGTGGCTCCCTATTGCTAGCTGTCATGGGCCCTCCAGGAACAGTCTCTTGTTCCACTATCTAACACTGACCACTAATCTTAAAGTGGTTTAAATTAATGAGAGTGATTCACAGTATTTTTATCTGGGGTTTACCATAAAAGTTTTCTGATTAAAAACACACACTTGACCTACTTGAGTGAACACCTAAGGGTCGCGGTATGGAAAGCTCGAAGTGCTTTTCCTAATTTGGGAGGAATAAACGTACAATAAATAACAAAGTGGAAAGTGCATAATGGTGAATGAGCACCTGGCAAACAGACAGAAGCCAAAAAAGAAACAGCAGAAATAGTTTTATTAAAAGAAACAGTGCAGAAGTCCATGGTGAGCAGGACTTTTTCATACAGAGCTATTATATTCATATTAGCATCACTTGTGTAAAACAAACACAGCTGATAGTTGAGAGGCAGGACCAAAGAGCCAAAGCTCAGCCCCCACAAGCACAACTAGGTGAGTACAAAGACAATAATAGTGTCAATCAACATATGACGATAACCGCCGCATCACCCAGGGGGTTATCACTACCTGATGTGACTCGTATCCACCCGCATATTTACTAGGTCTTGGTCATTCCTCCCCCCATCCCCCATCCCTGGCTTTATCAGTCTCCTCAGTCTTCTGGACCACACTACCTTTACTCTCCTCTTCCACCTCCTCTCTCATTTCCCTCTTAAATACCATTCAACCAAAACATCCAGTTTATATAACAATTATTACACATTTTTCAAACATTCGCAACAACAGATCCCTTATTAACATTCAACACAACAGATTCCCTATAAACAGTCTCAACAACAGATCCATTATTAACATTCTCAACAACAGATCCCTTACAAATACTCGACAACAGAGCTTGTATAAGCATTCTACATAACAAGTACTAAAGGGGCCTTATCTCAATAATTGAGCCGCTATAAATATTCTTAAAAAACAGACCCCCCTATAAACATTCTCAAAAGCAGATCCATTATTAACATTCTCAATAACAGATCCCTACAAACATTCTCAACAATATTAGTTTCATAAAACACAAATTTCTCTTGATGTTTCTCTTCATTATTCTATACAGTAATGTTAAATACAGTAGATAAATTTATATATCATAAACATAAAACATCCAAAATGAGTATGAACTGAAGTACACAAAATAGCATGGAATATACAGGACCTTATTGATACAGAAGGCAGTAATGGAGTCCTGTTCCTTATGGATAATTCGAACTGGCTCCAGAGAGTTAACAGAAGAGTCCAACGAAGGGCCACCGTGCTCCGAGGGCTCTTGGTGGTTCTCTGCACCCGTCTCCGAGCCGCCCTCGCCTGTCCCAGAACCATCCACTCCATCACCCACATCACTCATAGCATCTTCCCCTACAAATGGTAAATTGGAAAATATATATATAATTTGTATTTGCAATTTTGGAAAAGTTATATCTGCAAACATAGTCAATGACTTGTAAAGTACTGAAACTGGGAGGCACCTCAGAGCATATTAAAACTAACTTGCTTGGGGCATCCTTGAGTTGGTTCTGAGGATCGATGTCTCCGCAGCCTAGTCAATCAGGCTGTTAGACATTGTTGCATGCAGTCTGACATAAATCACAGCCTGACTGATCAAGTATCTCTCAAAGATATTTATCATGATTCCTGTTCCCTTTTGATCCTTCTTGAATGCCAAAAGATGCTGGTTAGTTAAGACCCTAATATTGTTTGTAAAATTAGTCCTCATTCAGTCTGTGTTTGCTGTACTGCCAAATCAATTAGTAACGTAATTGAGTTGACCTGGTAGGACTTTACCAATTCCTACCAGGTCATAATGCACCAGTGCTATATGAGGAATGGCAAATTCGTTACAGAGATTATCTTCACAGACAAATATGCAATAACCTGTGAAAATAGAGCACTCAAGTCCACAGCTGACACCTGGTTGGACATATCACCGTGCTGACAATGATGAACTTGACAACAGACTTGAGAGAATTTCATCAATGTTATATTTTGTTTGGCCTAATTGCTGCCACATGGAACAGGGTCAAAGCCCCTACACAACCGGATGAACAGAACTGAAGGGAGCAGGGTCTAAAACTCGAGGAAAAAGTATGTGCCCTTTTACATCATCGCTACTCTTTTTAAGCCCATCAAACCTATAAACACCCAACCTATCTTATCCTAACCTATCTTATCCTAATCTATTTTATCTTATCCTAACCAAAATAAGAGAAAATATTATGTGCTATATATGGTTTGTGATGTCACTATAACATTGTAATGTTCATGCTGGTATAGGTTTTAGTTTCAACTGCCTGAGAGTGGCACTTGAACAACCTATCCTCTCAACAAATACATCTCATTTTGTATGCTATGGTCCCGAATGTACAAAATTAAAGGGTACTATGAAAAGGAGCGTAGGTTAGATGGGTGAGCGTGTGTTCACATGCTTTAGTACCCGTTATTTTGAATGTTGTGGCAAATCAAGAGAACAAGCGGGGGTATAAACCTTATTGCCCAAGGGGTGGTAAGGAGCCTCAGCCCAACAGAGAGTTAAGTCACATGACTACCAAGGTATACCTGTACCCATGTTCTCTAATACGTAGTAATAGTGCAGAAACCCATGCGTCTACTGCCACCAAGTGACGAAACAAGTGTCGTGTTCTTTCTTTAGCACAGTGGTCTACATCCTTGACTCACAACCAAGGACTCGAGTTCAATCCCCAAGCAGAACAGAAAATGGTTGGGCATGTTACCTTTCACCTGATGCCTGTATTCACCTGCAGTAAAATAACTATCTGGGAGTTAAACAACTGTTTTGGGTTTCATCCTGGGAAAAGTCGGTGGTTAGCCAATGGGGTGACCTAAATAAGTTTAAGTAGACTTCCAAAACACTGACAACCATTAAAGTCTAATGATCTTTCCTGTGTAGCGGGAAAAGAGGGAGCACGGAGGTGGAGAATTGCAGCAAAAAGAACTAAAATTAGAATAAGCTTTACTAGTAAGCTTGACATCTCCTGCTTACCTTGCTCTGCATACTGGGCAGGTTCAGGTGTAGGTCTCTTGCGGCCAAAGATATACCTCACAAAAACATCTTGAACTTCCTCCTGCCTGACGAGGTAATTCCACAACCGCGCCACCGACTTCACGCCCTTCTTGTTACGGCTGTGATGACAGAATTAATTATTGTATAACACACACTCAAATTATTGAAAACATGCATGAAACTAATATTGGACACCAAACTTTTCGGACCCCAAGTAATACACTTTCAAGAACATAAACATTATGTATATTATTATAACAACATACTGTATTCAGTACTGCATTGTACTGTACAGAATTACTCTTAATTACAAAAAATATATTACATGCATAAAGACCTTATCATTGCTCTGTTCCCCACTGTCTCCCCACACATCAGCTCGGTTAACCCTTAAAGTGCGCATCACGTCATATGACGTGCTGGAAGTTGTTCCAGTAAACTGCGCATCACGTCATATGATGTGTTGGAGTACTACGCAAGATTTAAACAGCCCGCGGATACATGGGGTTCACCACACCTTCATCAGGGCTCTTGTAAACAGACGCCATTTTTAAAAAAAATCGTGGGCCAAACTCCCGGGTGTTATTGGCCTCAGTATTGAGTGAGCAACCAAGCCTGATGCACGCAGCATGAGCTAACAGCACTGCTGTTCAGCTTGTGACCACAGCATCGCCTAAAAATGCCAAATTATACTTGTTCATGCTATTATGTAGCGATGATATTATTACAGAAGACCCCTGACTGTGATAAAACTGACCAGGGTTCTGATAATAGCAGGATTGTGGTGATATTTAGCGCTGTGCGCCATGGAAGGAGGTGTAATGCTGTGGGAGGGAGGGTGGTGGCGATGTCTTTTGACTGTGTGTGGCCACCTTTTATTGACTGCACTCACCATACCAGCTTAGTGGTTCGCTATGGTGAACACAAATGTAGATACTTATATATAACGTGCGTATAGAGGGTATAAACAGCAAGAGAAGGTTTGGAGCCGCCATTTTGGTGAGGGCGGTGGCGTCGTCTGCACGACGCCACCGTGCAGACGACGGTGTTGTTTACTGGTTACCACGATGGTCTTTGGGCACCATACCAGTTTATTTGTACAAGTATGATGAATAAAACAGGTAGATATTTATATATAATGTGTGTATATAGCGTAATAACACCACACAGTATTGTTGGAGGAGAAATATTAGTGCGTCTGGCCTTGAGGGCGGCCGCCGATCAGCTGACTGTGTGAGTAGCCACATCTCTGTGCCTTTACTCACCATACAAGCTTAGATGTACAGTTATGGTGAACAAAACATGTAGATACTTATATATAACGTCTGTATATAAGATATATAGCGTAATAACACCACACAGTATTGTTGGAGGAGAAATATTAGTGCGTCTGACCTTGAGGGAGGGCCGCCGATCAGCTGACTGTGTGAGTAGCCACATCTCTGTGCCTTTACTCACCATACAAGCTTAGATGTACAGTTATGGTGAACAAAACATGTAGATACTTATATATAACGTCTGTATATAGTGAATTAAAGCAAAAACATTATTGTGGGAGGAGAATGAGGGTGAGTCAGATGACTGGAGGGAGGGCGGGAGTGGCTGGCTGGTACACGGCGGTCACTCCTCATTACTTTTTGACTCATAATAGCTACTTAGTGGTTCGTTATAGTGAACAAAACATGCAAATACTTATATATAACCTGTGCTTATAGTGTAATAACCGACAAAGTATTTGTTCACTGATTGATGAACATAATTGAATCAACAATATGCACACCATATTTTTGAGTACACCAACGATTCACTCATTTTATTATATAAATATATCAAACTACACACTATTGAATAATATTACAGCAAAAAAAGTATGAAAAATCAATCAGAGACATTGAAATAATTCGGTAATTATCTCTTTGTGGCAACTCTGGCCTGACAGCTTGCGAGCAACAGACCGCCTGGGACGCACGCTGAGTCAGCGCCTATAATATGCCAGACTTCCCAGCCCTATAGCGGGCAATATATGCCACTTACGATTTTTTTATTATTTTTCCCGTGATCAGTGAACACAAATTAACAGGTTAGAAAGAAAAAATAATTTTTTTTTTTTTTCAAAATGACCTGCGCCTGTGGGGATGGCAGGATATTAAACCCCGAGTATGTTAAGGGTTAACACACACACAACTAACTACTACACCCAATTCCAAAAGAAAGCACTACTGAAACAGGGGGAAGGACTGGCGGCATCCAACCAAAGTAGAGCCAGAAAACTTCCTAGTAGTACAGTTGTTAAATTCTGGTGGCTAATGATCTTTGCTAGAAGCAACAGGTAAAATGCTTTGAAACTGGAGCTGTTTCTAAGGAAACAAAGAGATACTTGAATGTTGGACCAAGTTATAACAAGTCATAGTGGAATAATGTTCTCCGGGTAAGCTCCATGATGTTTAGTTCTCACAGTATACCTCTTATTAACCCTTAACATGCTCGGGGTCTAATATCCTGCTATCCACACAGGCGCATGTCATTTTGAAAAAAAAAAAAATTTTTTTTTTTTGCTAATCTGTTAAGTTCTGTTCACTGATCACGGGAAAAATAAAAAAAAAATTCTATTGTACTTACTTTTGTTGCAATAGAGCCGAGAAGCTCTGCGATGACGTCACAATCTGCATGTTCGCTCATGCAGTACACGCCCGGGAGATGTTGCGCGCGGTCCTCAAACAGCCAGAGTTGCCACAAATATATTTTCGCGCTATTTATTTACAATGTCTAAGCGCATTTTATCTAATTTTTTTTCACTAATTGTGTTTCAAATACTGTTTGAACATATTTTGTATCAATAATTGTTGCATATTTGAGTATACACAGGCGCACACAAATGTTTTCAATTACGGCAATATAATATGTCATTACAGTCTATTATATTATATGTTCTGCTTATATGTTTACATATTTACACACTCGCACACGCTATACACACTTTGAAGCACACTTAGAAGATTTCTAGACTGTGGTAGTCATTGAAGCAGTCGACAGCACATAATGGGATACCACACGTTTCACACCATGTTTGCACAAGCTTCCGTTTCTTGTCTCTACGTGTCGTTGTTTTACACACCAAGCAATCACGTTGGGCTATTGCACGCTTCACACCAGGTGGCAAATACTTAAGTTTGTGTGCTAGGAAGCCTTCAGTGTGAGCGAGGCGTGGAGTACCAGCATGCTGCAACAGTGGGTTTATGATGGGCCGCTGAATACCTGGGACATCTTTTGCAAACTTTCCTAATAACTGTATTGCAGCATCAAATACAAAGTCACGGAAAGTGGGCTTACGTCCAGTTCTCACAAGGTACATGTTGAAACAGTTCAGCATGCTCATGTCCACAAGATGGAAGAACACTTTTTTCGTCCACCTACATGTCTTCCGCACACACTCTGCAGTGCCAATCATCATGTCTGATTTATCAATCAACCGCATGTTGATATTATAGTCTAAAACACAGTCTGGCTTATATAGTGGTGCGTTTGTTTTATGGCTCACTTTCCCACTGTTCACCATTGTTCCATCATGAATTGTTGTCAACAAGTTCACCTCTCTTTTGTCTTTCCACCGAACTGACAGAATGTTATCACTTTTCCTTCTCTGACACTCACCAACTGCAATGTCGTTGTCAAACACAGGCATTTCCCTTCGTTGTGGCTTTACTGTACCAACCAATCCGGTTCTATTTTCTAGCAAGAACCGAGCTAGCAAGGGACTTGTATAGTAATTATCTGTGTATAAAATGTGTCCCTTGTTCATCCACGGAGCCATGATGGTCTTCACTACACTCCCCGAGAATCCATGTTCGTCGTTACCGGGAATGTCTACATCACTAGCCGAGTACAGAATCATGTGTAACACGTATCCTGTCTCACAATCACAAAGAACAAAAAATTTCAGGCCAAATCGGTTTCGTTTTGAGGGAATGTACTGTTTGAATGGAACACGTCCCTTGAAAAGTATGAGAGATTCATCAACCACCAGCTTCTGTGCTGGTACGTAAAAATCTCTGAATTTTCCAATAACATCGTTCATGTAGTGCCTCACTCGCCACAGTCTATCATCAGGTGTTCGGTCCTGAACACTTCCAAAATGTAGACACCTGAGGAGTATCTGAAACCTGTCTCGTGACATATATTTCCCGAATAAAGGTGTTGGTATTGTCTTGTCCTTGCTCCAATAGTCATTTATTGCATGTTTGTGACAGTGCTTCATCAACAAACAGAGTGCCAAAAACACATACATTTCCGCCACTGTGGTATTTTTCCAACGCTGCAGTCGTGAAAATTCTGTGATTTCCCTCTCAATCAGGTAAGCAGCATGCAGGTTCGTTTGGTGTACAATGTATTCCATGAGTGGTTCATCATAGAATGCTGTAAAATATTCCATCTCAGCCATGTCCTCACCTTGATTAGGGAAAAGGTTTGTAATCCCTACATCTTTATCGTCAAAGTGAGGAATATTAGGAATAAAATCGTCACCATCACTCCACTCAAGTACACCAGGCGTCCTGCGAGATGCAGAGGAAAGACGGCGAGGAAGCGATGCATACCGGCGACCAGGAGCTGAATACCGTCTGCGAGAAGCACGGCGGCTACGTGCACGTGAGGTGGGTGCACGTGAACACGAGGGTCTTGGTCCCTCATGTGGTGCCATGCGGTGGCGCTTGGCTGGGCGAGATGCTGCTGACGCGACAATTTCTCGCCCAGTTACACCACTGGTACCAGCCACAGGCTCAATAAAACTTTGATCTGAGTCACTAAACCCAGAAAAGGAGTCACCTCCCTCTGACTCGTCACCCTCAAACAGAAAATATCCACAGGAACTGTGAGGTCGTGGTAGAATTGGGGTAGAAAATGGGCGAGGAGGCATGGGAGAGCGTATAGGCCTCGCCATGGCATGGCGGTCATTCTCACTTTCACTGCTGCTGCTACTATCTCCCGACAACTGTGTATAATCCTCATCGTTGTCTGAATCGTCAAACACACTTTCTTCACCTTCAGAGAATAATTCGTGGGCTATTTGCTCTGGGGTGAGGGACTGAGTGGTGCGTGCCCGTGAGGCGTTTGACCGTGCGCTCGCCATGGTGACTCTCGCTAAACTGAGGCCTCCCATGCCATCGGAGCGTGAGCTGGATTTTTTTTCAAAATGGCCGCTGTTTACTAGAGCCCCTGGGCAGCGTATGGGACCCCCAGCTACACCGCGGGCCATTCAAATCGTGCGCGGTACCCATACACTTCATATGAAGTGAAGCGCAGTTGACTGGTAAAACGATTTACACTTCATATGAAGTGATGCGCACTTTAAGGGTTAAGTGGAAAGTTGGAGACTTATCTGTGCAATGTTTCTGGTTACTGCAGAAGCCATCTAGAGTATCAGTCTAAGCCCTGAAAGGCTTGGCCAATAGCCCAACTCCTGAGTCTTGATCTCAGGAGTGCAACAGCAGTAACCTAGAGAAGCTACTAAAGGGGCCTACCCTTTAGGTCTCTTTAGTAGCAATCTCTAGGTTACTGAAATATGACTGAAATTTTGTTCAGCTATAATATATAAGGATTAAGCCAGGTCTGGATTATTCAACAGGCCAAGTAGTGCATGGCCTAGGGCCCCACCAGCTGTCTACATGTATACTTAATCTTTGAATAGCCACACTGACTAGAAGGCTACTGACTACACTGCCCATTTAACTGTCTTGGCCTAGGGCCCAAAAAGAGTTAGATCCGGCCCTGGAATAACCCTCAAAATAAAACTATGTTAATACTCACACAAATGGTGTATTATGAGTCTCTAGCAAGCCTCGATACTTCAAAATAGCCGGGCCGACAACTTGAGACTCGGCAAAGCATCCAGGAATGTACTCTGGTGGAGGACCTTTCTTGCTTTCGATGTGTGTCACGAGGGCAGCGAGCCACTGGTCTAGACTCCGCAAGATGGAATGTAGCAGTGGACTTTGCATCGGTAGCTCTGAATAAATAATTGGATTTAACACAGGTTTATTAGTGAATAATTATAACATAACGCTTTACAAGTATAAACTTTCATGTATTCCCCTCAGTTTGATATAAAGTGGATACAGTCAAACCTGTGCATAAATAAAGTAGCATAAGGCTACTTACAGAATTTGGAGAGGCCTTCATAAACAGAAGACCTTTAAGAGAGATGCCTGGTCCATAACCACTAGAGGTGCACAATGAAATCCTGTTTCAGTCATCTGAACATTCATCATGTTCTGCTCTCTTAATGTATTTACACATAAATAATTGTCAAATTCTAGCGCTAGTCGTTGCTAGCAACAGGTGGATATTCTGTGGCTGCTAGCAACAGGTAGATATTCTGTGACTGCTAGCAACAGGTAGACATTCTGTGACTGCTTGCAACAGGTGGACATTTTGTGACTACTAGCAACAGGTGGATATTCTGTGGCTGCTAGCAACAGGTGGACATTCTGTGGCTGCTAGCAACAGGTGGACATTCTGTGGCTGCTAGCAACAGGTAGATATTCTGTGACTGCTAGCAACAGGTAGACATTCTGTGACTGCTTGCAACAGGTGGACATTTTGTGACTACTAGCAACAGGTGGATATTCTGTGGCTGCTAGCAACAGGTGGACATTCTGTGGCTGCTAGCAACAGGTGGACATTCTGTGGCTGCTAGCAACAGGTAGATATTCTGTGACTGCTAGCAACAGGTGGACATTCTGTGACTGCTTGCAACAGGTGGACATTTTGTGACTACTAGCAACAGGTGGATATTCTGTGGCTGCTAGCAACAGGTGGACATTCTGTGGCTGCTAGCAACAGGTGGACATTCTGTGGCTGCTAGCAACAGGTGGACATTCTGTGGCTGCTAGCAACAGGTGAACATTCTGTGGCTGCTAGCAACAGGCAAACATTCTGTGACTACTAGCAACAGGTGGACATTCTGTGACTGCAACAGGTGGACATTTTGTGACTGCTAGCAACAGGTGGACATTCTGTGACTGCTAGCAACAGGTAGACATTCTGTGACTGCTAGCAACAGGTGGACATTCTGTGACTGCTAGCAACAGGTGGACATTCTGTGACTGCTAGCAACAGGTAGATATTCTGTGGCTGCTAGCAACAGGTAGATATTCTGTGGCTGCTAGCAACAGGTGGACATTCTGTGGCTGCTAGCAACAGGTGGACATTCTGTGGCTGCTAGCAACAGGTGAACATTCTGTGGCTGCTAGCAACAGGCAAACATTCTGTGACTGCTAGCAACAGGTGGACATTCTGTGACTGCTAGCAACAGGGTGGACATTCTGTGGCTGCTAGCAACAGGGTGGACATTCTGTGACTGCTAGCAACAGGGTGGACATTCTGTGGCTGCTATCAACAGGCGAACATTCTGTGGCTGATAGCAACAGGCGAACATTCTGTGGCTGATAGCAACAGGTGAACATTTTGTGGCTGATAGCAACAGGTGGACATTTTGTGGCTGATAGCAACAGGTGGACATTTTGTGGCTGATAGCAACAGGTGGACATTCTGTGGCTGATAGCAACAGGTGGACATTCTGTGGCTGATAGCAACAGGTGGACATTTTGTGGCTGATAGCAACAGGCGGACACTCTGTGGCTGATAGCAACAGGCGAACATTCTGTGGCTGATAGCAACAGGTGGACATTCTGTGGCTGATAGCAACAGGTGGACATTTTGTGGCTGCTAGCAACAGGTGAATGCTGTGTGTGGCCACTATGACAGGTCTGACATTAATAACCCATTTTAAAATGAATTGAGGAAGCCTTCTTAGATAATTATATGTAAAACTTCTAGAGTATGTTAATTAACTGATATTTAGATTTCAAATAGGGAATAAAGTGTTAATATTCCTTGATACATTAGACAAAGATACTGCAAACAGTACTGTATGTGCAAATCTAAACTATTTGTGCAATACAGCAATGAAGCTGATGTGACTAAATACAAATAGCAAATTTATACTCAGCATTTTAGTCGTAAACAATACATAAAATAAACCAGCGTTGAATGTAATGAAACACCATTTTTTGGGTGAGCCCCGGAGGCTCCCTGGAGCTATCGGACTGATATGCGATATTTTAGTCTAGTCAATTGAAGTTCATCCTACTAGGGACAACGACCAGAACCTGGCCCCCCTCAGAGAGGCAATGGGAGCAATGGCCTATGGAAAACCCCATGTACTTGAGGGCATTCCATGTCTGCCATCAACTGGGGTTAGCACCCAGAAAGATAAGCATAACAAAACAGACCCCACTTGGTAAGAAAATTGCAAGCGAAGACCAAACAGAGAGGTAGAAGTCCCCCCAATCTAAAGTACAAGCAAACGTCACACACTGCCGCTTGTCTGCGCAGCCCTTGTCCTTGTCTCCCCTTCCTCTTCAGGGAAGGGGAGAGCCCCGGACCCCTAGCATCAGCTACTCAGCATCTCCAGTTTGGAGGCTGACCGACCAGGAAGCCTCTGGGGCTCATCAAGAAAATGGGGTTTCATTACATTCAACACTGGTTTTCTGTAGGGAGCCCCTTTGGCTCCCTGGAGCTACCTAACCAAAGACAAGTAAAAGAGGGATTTACTGGGAGGTGGCCGCCACTCGCTCCTCAATTCGAGTCGAGTCAGGTTGAAACAACTGGCTGCAACCTGCAACCCAAAGTGACACACGAACAACCAGGACCAGGAATGATGACCAAATAATGGGTGGGCCAGGACCCAGTTCGACCTCCAAAATCCCTGCGCCTGAATATCAGCCCAAGACATGTAACCAGCACTCAATGCCTCCACATCTTCCTTAAGCCAGTCTAAGGAGAACTTAAGAAGGGCAAAGAAGCTCAAGACTGAAGCCAAATAAACCCCACCCCGACGCCGAAACCCTCAGACCTTTGGGAGGCGGGAGCACAGGGAGGGGGGCTTTTGCAGGGCGAACCACCCCAACCAGGGAAAGACTTGGAAGCGCGGATGGAACCAAAGTTGAAGCGACTAACACTCCCAAGTCCGGGTTCCTATAACCAAAACGAGGCAGCCTCGGAGCATCCGGGTGGGCAACCAACCTAACACGTTGCAGCAACCTAAACCTAGCTGCAATGCCGACGCTGCCTATACCCGAACCTCAGTGTCTAGAGAATGAGTAAATTGGAGTGCGAGCAGAGAACATGACTCGTAAGACTCCAGGTCAAAGGAGTTATTGACCCAGCAGGCAGCATGATGGAGACACAACAGGTGACTGTCACCCTGAGACAAGGGCACAGAGCAACTTCAAACTTGCACAAGGGGAGCTAGAACTCAAAAGACGCATCCATTGGTCAAATGAGCCCCAATGGTGATTTCCAGGGCCCACAGGCTGACTGCAACGAGAAGCCCAGGCCAATTACTGCAAAACCGGTTAGGTCCAAACTAACAAGGGAAAACTGCTAAAGCTGAACCCTTGCAACTTGTACAATCGCGGGGGCCTAGAAGGGGGCCATCAAAATAACAGAAGTGGACCAATAGCCAAACATGGCAGACCCCCTCCAGGCTAGGAAAACAAATAGAAAATAAAAACCCGCAAAAGTACAATGTCCCGAGAAGGAACAGAAACTGGCCACCGCGTAGGTAGGCAAGCAGCACAGTACCTTGCGCCCCTATCATCAAACAATTCCACTTTCTACCCAAGGCCAAAGAAATGTCATAAAAACCCCAGTTAGCCTCAAAGGCGGGGTAATTGCCGAGTAGTGAAGACCCTCTAAGGAAGTGGTTCCTGAAAGCTCTATAGAAGAGAACCATAGAACTCAAGGGTAATACTCACAGGGCACTTAGGGAAGGTAGCCCTAAGCACATGCAGCCCAAGTACTCAAGTTTTTCCTGGCCACCGCATCACACACAGCTAAACACACCACTAAAGTACGCAACTGCCAAGAAACTGAGGCCAGAGTCGACGACCGCCTCACATTGCATCGTCCAACAAACTGGTGTTGTTGAGTAGCCAGGGCGGCGGGGTGGGGGGTTGGGGGTTGTCTGGGGAGGGGAGGTTTGCGCAGACAAGCGACATGGCGGCGGGGTGTGACGTTAACTTGTTTGCTTGTTCTTTAGGTTGGGGGAATTCTACCTCTCTGTTCGGTCTTTGGTTGCAATTTTCTTACCAAGTGGGGTCTCTTTTGTTATGTTTATCTTTCTGGGTACTACACCTGGTTGATGGCAGACATGGAATGCCCTCAAGTACAAGGGGTTTTCCATAGGACATTGCTCCCATTGCCTCCCTGAGGGGGTCAGGTTCCGGTCGTTGTCCCCAGTAGGCTGAATTCCAATTGACTGATGCCCCAGACTAATATATCGCATATCAATCTGATAGCTCCAGGGAGCCAAAGGAGCTCCCCACAGAAAATAATAATAATTATTTCAATATATGTTTTGAAGAAAATGACTTAGAAAATTGAGAGCATATTTATCCATTATTATGCAAAGAAATGACAAGAACCTGATGTATCTGTGGGAAAACATTGAGGTCATACAATGGGATTGAGCTTGCATCTATGGGCTCCTCAATGGACAGTGTGTGTGGCTGCGGAGTCCAGGGATGGGAGTTCAATCCTACTGTATGGCTTCAGTATTTTCATATTACATATTACAAAGACTGGTGAAATATGAATCAATTTACAAATTGCTTGGACTAATTCTGGAAATGTGCAAAGTATCTGGATTGTGTTTATTGGTGTTAGTGTCTTTGCCAGTCAGGATAAGCAAAGCCAAGGGTTTGGATTCCACTATTCTACTAAAATCTGAACTTCATATTTAACATATTGATGAAACAAGGCAAAATTTGGAATATATTACTGAATATAAGATGCAATCCACAATATCACGGGTAATAATATTTTACAGTCATGATTTATTGGAGAGTCAAACTCAAAGACAGAGAGTATGAGATGGTTGTGCTACCGCTGCCTAGTTTATAGGACAAATGTCTCGTATTTTTGAGGCGTAAGTTTGAGTCTTCGATGATCCAAGTGAATGAAATATAACTGAATATCAAAACTCTTCTACAAATTAAAAATCAACAAAGAATTAGAAAACTAGATTCTAAATACAATATATAATATAGCAAAGCTCTTCTTTCATACTTATATATTATATACCATTAAAATATCAAATCTCATAGATCATAAGAGTGCTTAAAACACATAAGTTCTGCATGCTAAAGAAGATTTTAGCAAATGAAACCTATGGCTTAGACTAGTGTGTAGCCAACCAATTAGAATGTCTGCTCTGAGTTAAGAACCCTTCGAGGCCGCGTGAGCCCGTCTTGCATGACTCACATCACCAGACGGCTCCCAATGATTTCCTAGTTTTTTATTTGTTGGGCTCTTGTATTTGTTGTAAATCCCATGAGTATGATGCAAGCAGCCTGATGCCGAGTGACAAATGAAAGTGCTTCAACATATTACTGACATTTTTAATCATGTTTATTTCATATTATGCAGTTCAAAACTTTGTACTGTATAATGAATTAGAGTAAATTTAAGATCGCTTTACCTGTTTTTTTTTTAACTATGTGTCAATTGACTGCAGATATTAGTTTTTTAATTCCCATTGTCAGGGAGAGGAAGCCTATAGTTAGGTTGATCAAGGTCCCACAAGTCAATTCACTACTGGTAGAAATGTGTCCCCCCCCTTCCCCCCGCACACACACACACACGAGATGTACCTACTGTGGGCGCAACCCACAACGGTCATAATTTTTACGTATAATCTACCTAAGGCAAAAAATTTTTGTACTTGAAAATGGTAGTGTCTCACATAATTGACATACTATCCCGTTTTCTGTCTTGTGTCCTCTGGTAGGGAGGAGAGGGAACTTTAGTAAGACAATTTTTTGACGTTGGGAAACCTTAGATGAACGAGCTGGTTGATGCATACCGCGACATAAGATACATAAAAGCAATGATGCATGGAAAGTAACAAAATTATAGTACAATTTATACAACAGAGTAAAATGTACCAATGTTTGTTGTTTACTGTGTTTTGTACTAAAAGAGCTCTTGCATTTGAAGGCAAATTAAGTAGTGAGTTAAAGACCAAGATGTACACTACAGAAGAGAAAGACATCACTATAATTAGAGCTAAGACACTTGTAACCCACTAGATCAATGTTAATATTGGTAACACAAATAGGATTACAAATTCCTCTAATACTGATACACAAAATAAATTAATACTGGCAATATTATAGATTTAAAGATTGTGTGTGGAAGAGGAACTGAGGGACCAGAGAAGCCCAAACCACACAAGCACCGAGTGATTGGGGTACATAGGTTCTGGTCTCGGTGTTTGAGGAAGATTGTGAATGAACGTTTAGCAACTATCAAGCTATTGATTTATCTCAGCATTTTATATCAAAGCTCTGAGGTTCTTTTAAGACAAAAATGTTGACATACAACATGAATTTGTGCAGAAACAAAAAAACATTAGTATATCAATTTGCTATGTTTTGTGCAGTTCAGATATCATCAATACGGTTCAAGTACGATGCAAGAGAAAAATTAAGCTGTGCCCAATATATTGAAGACATTCAGTTAAAATCACTAGTGTATTTTACACACACAAATTGTGCAATTATGTGTATTAAAATATGTTACTAAATATGGACTACTGTAGCAGGAGTGAGAGCAGATGCACGTATGTTAGAGCAGCAAGAGAGCGTGTGTGGGTGTACCTTTTTGTCCCTTACCAAGTAACTCGACCCCAGCAACTTCCAAGAACCGTCCTACCACTATCTTTGCTGCACGCACGGTGGCCAACCTCAGTAGGCACCAGGAATACGAATCTGCGTCACAGTGCTCTGTGTTTTCGGCCATGACCTGTTGCAGAATGAAACGGATGCACACATTATAAGTCAAAGCATTACAAAAGAAAGAATCATGGAGAGGATGGGCAGGCATCATCCGTCCGTCCATATGGCTGGGAGGGGTACAGCTGGGGGAGGGGGGGGGGGGTCTGATGTGGGAGATGAGGGGATGGAGAAAGCTGGAAGGGTGTGGGATGGGGGGAATGGAGGTAGGTAGTGGGGGAGGGTGACCAGCTCTGTCAACCACCTCACTACTGCTCGCCTGCACACACTGACACCTGCACGACCACTGCTGTCCGCCTATCTACCCACTTTGCCACCTGCCCCTCCACCATCCATTCATCCAGTCCCCCCCCCCCCCCACCATCCATCCATCCAGTCTCTCTCCACTGTCCATCCAGTTTCCCCCACCATCCATCAATCCAGTCCCTCCTCTACCATCCATCCATCCAGTCGACCTCCACCATCTGTCCAGCCACCCAATTCCCCCCACCATTTATCTATCCAGTTTCCCCCATCCATCAAGTCCCTTCACCATCCTTCCATCCAGTTCTCTCCACCATCCATCCATCCAGTTCCCCCAACCATCCATCCATCCATCCATTCAGTTCCCCCAACCATCCATCCATCCAGTCCCCTCACCATTCATCCGTCCATCTAGTCCCCTCACCATCCATCCATCTAATCCCCTCACCATCCATCCAGTACCCCACCGTCCATCCTGTTGTCCTTCCAAATACAATATTCAACTGCGATCGTCACTAGGCAGGAGACACTGGTAAAGTGTGTGTGCCTTGTCCTGCACGCCACCCCACCCCTTGCTCAGCAGAACAGACCCACGCATTCATCAACCCACACATGTATCAACAAACTCGAGCACTGTGGTAAACCTCGAGGACTGAGTAAAATTTTTTTGAAGAAATTGAGCTCGAGAACCGAAAAATTTGAAAACAGGGGCATTCAAAAACCGAGGTTCTACTGTATATATATACGTACATATATAAATGTTTATGTACTTTCCATACTTTTGAATACAGATGTACTATTTTAAAAGAAAAAGTAAAAAAATATTTTTTTTTCCTCATAAGTCAGGATGACAATTTTGAGTTCAATGAATAAGACTTGAACAATTATATACTTACCTTGGGTTCCTTGAACACATCTTCATCCTCCTCATAATCCATATCTACATCTTCAGTATCACTTGCAGAAGAATCATAATCAATGTTCTCATATTCAGGTGGTAGTGTGGGCTGAAAAAAAAAGTTCAATATAATGAAACGCCATTTTCTGGCGAGACCTTAGAGGCTCCCCGGAGCTATCTGAGCTGATATGAATGTATTATACCCTGGCATCAGTCAAAGCAAATAGAATTCTAGGCCTATCGGGGGACCACAAGCCAGAACCTGGCCCCCCTCAGAGAGGCATGAAGAGCAATTGCCTATAGAAACGGCCCGTTTGGAAGGAAGCATTCAATTTCTGCCACTGACTGGGTCAGGCACCAAGAAAAGTAGGCACCCCAAAACAAACCCTATCTGGTAAACAAAATTGCTACAAAAAGCCGAACTGTTGAACAGAACTCCCCAAACGAAAAATGAGCAAACGAGCATGACATCACGACCATGACTGCACTGCCATCTGTGCACCCCCCTCCCCCTGGGAAGGGGGAGTCCCAGACACTTGCACAGGCTATTCACACCCCTAGTTCTGAGGCTGGATGTCAACACACACAAAAACCACCAACTGGAGGGAGGGAGGAAGGGTTGCCAGGGAGCCTCAGGGTCTCACCCAGAAAATGGCGTTTCATTACATTCAAAGCTGGTTTTCTGGGGGGAGCCCCTTTGGCTCCCCAGAGCTACTTAACCAAATAGAAAACAAGAGGGACTTACCCGGGAGGCAGTCACCACTAGCTTCTCAACTCAAAGTCGAGACAACTGGCTACAACCGCTGACCCAGTTTGACACATGCCTGACAAGGGCCAGGAACACTAATTAGGTAGCGAGCAGTCAGGACCCTGTTTGACCTCCAAAAACCCCGTGCCCAAGGGGTTTTGGTAACATCTTGGTAACAAGACATGTTACCAAAGATGGCAGCCAACACAGCAAACTTATGAACGTCATGGGCACGAGAATAGGCCGTAGGCTGGCTAGATCGAATAACCCTGTGGATGACCTGGGAGGCCTGAACCCTGGAACAGGGAAGAAGGGAAACCGGGTTAACCCAAAGCGCATTCCTGGTCACCAACGCCGTGGCGTGCAAGTAACAGCGGAGAGCCGCGACTGGACACAACACATAATGCACCCCCGGCTTAACTAACCAAGCTTCAACAACCCAAAGGTCTTTCCAGAAAGTAGCAGTCCCATTCTTCGCCAGAAAAGGAGATGACTACAGACGAATAAACATACCACCAGGACCAAAAGAGCAGGAAACCCCTGTGCCAGAGGAGAACATGAAGCTGCCCGACCTGACCCCCAGAAGCCAATGCCAACAGGAAAAGAGCCTTGGAAAAACAATCCTGAACCGCTGGGGCCAACATAAACTGAGGCGAAGAGAGAAAAGAGAGAACCCGGTCCAATGACCAGGATGGCTCAGGTGGCGCGTGAGCAGGCCGGAGATGAAACAACGCACAAGACAGCTTGCGGACCAGTGCAGAAGTAACATCAACGCTGAACACAAGCTGCAGCAGCTCTGCCAGCGCCGCACGATCGAGACGACAGTATTCAGCATAAGATGATGGTTCTGGAACAACTGCGAAAGGTTGTTTTGTAGAACAACTACAAAACAACTGGAACAGAGATAGAAGTACAGATATGAAAAGACAAGAAATAACAGAAGGACTGCCAGCAAACTTCATACTGCCACCGAGATGAAACACACAGGTGGGACACCATCATTGAGGCCACCTCCTCACCATACAAGTGGTGATAGACTCGAGTCAGAAAGACTAATCACATCAGCCAAAGAACTGAGGTGTGGATTCCCGGTGTGAGGGTCTGGGGCTCCCCCTTACCCCTTCCGGGGAGGGTGGGAGCTGCGCAGACGGTGGCGCGGCGACGTGTGACGTCATACTCGTTTACTCATTTTTGTTTGTGGAGTTCTGTCCACTAGTTCGACTTTCAGTAGCAATTTTTTAACCAGTACAGTGATTTGTTTCGGGATGCTCACCTTTCTGGGTGCCTGATCCAGTCGATGGCAGACATCCAGACATGCTTCTAACCACACGGGGGTTTCGACAGGTAATTGCTCCTCGTGCCTCTCTGAGGGGGCCAGGTTCTGGCTCATGGTCCCTGGTAGGCCTAGAACTCCATTCACATTGACTAATGCCAAAGTCTAATATCAGACTGGATAGCTCCGGGGAGCCGAAGGGGCTCCCTCCAGAAAGAGGTCAAGGGATGGTTCTAGACAGAAAACTATCACCCGAGGACTACATAAAAGCCTATGTAAGAAGGCTGCATTGTGTAAGGAGCCTATGATACACCTTTCAATTTCATATTTTTTTTTAAATACATGGATTATGAAATAGAGAAATTGTTCACAATCTTTGTGAGACCAAAGGAGGAATATGTAGTAGTTGTATGGTGCCCGTACCTTAAGAAGCACATCAACAAACTGAAAAAGTTGCAAAGACATATAACTAAATGGCATCCAAACTGAAAGACAGGAGCTACGAGGAGAGATTGATTGACAGAGATTAAGCCACCCAAGAAGTGCACAGACATGAATAGCCAGTAATACGAGGAGAGGTTATAGGCATTAAATATGCCAAAGACAGAAGATAAAAGAAAAATAAGAGATATAATCACTACATGGTACGTTCAAAATAGTAACAGGAATCAACAAAATTGAAAAGGATGAATTCTCGTGACCTGAAATGTCAAGAACAAGATGTTATAGATTTAAGCTAACTAAACAAAGCTGCAGAAGAAATAAGAAAATTCACTTTTGCAACCGAAGTGGCAGATGGTTGGAACAAGTCAGAAAGTTATAGAGGCCAAAACTGTCAGTAATGACAGTACTGTCAAAGCATTACATGACAAAGAGTACTGGGTAGACGGGACACCACGAGCGTAGCTCTCATCCTGTAACTACACTTAGTTTTCAGTGGTGCAAAACTCATATAGAAACAACTCTGGATGGTAAACAACAAGAACACTGCAAAAAATTAGGCATATCCTTTAGTTTCCAGTAAAAACTGAAGCAAAACCTAAAATATTAAGGCTGACTGCAGTGAAATACTTTTAAAATACATATAACAGATATTAATTAGGAATGAAATCAAGTCGATGTGATATTAGCAGTGAACTTTAAGTACTGTGCTCCATATATGGCATCACTTACACATGTGCTCACACAGTAGATGCCATAGATTCAAGCTAAGGAAATAAAGGTGCCCACAAAATATATGAAACTTTTTCTATGCAAAAGCAGAGTTGTAGAAGTCTGGAATAAGTTAAGTAAGAAGGTGGTGGATGCCAAATCTATCAGCAGTTTCAAGGCATCAGATGACAAAGATACACACAGAAATCACAATAGCGTGACTTATCAAATGAATAAATTTACAAGGGCCGTTTAGAGGGTTCGAACTTACGTCCACGATGATCCCAGACACGCCTTAATCGACTGCACCACGACATGGTAAAAGAATCGCAACCGGGATTGTTACTGCTCTCACATGGATCCCACAATCTCTCTGAGACACAAACCAGGGTTTTACACAATTGCCCCATGCATATGTAGACAGAGCCCGAGTGCATGGGGGAATTGTGTAAAACCCCGGTTTGTGTCTGGGAGAGACTGCGGGATCCGTGTGAGAGCAGTAGCAATCTCGGTTGCAATTCTTATACCACGTTGTGGCGCTGTCGAAAGGCACATCTGGGATCATCCTGGACATAAGTTCGAACCCTCATCACGACCCTTGTGGATTTATTCATGACAAAGATTATTGGGAAGGCAGAACACCAGGAGCATAGCACTCATCCTGCGACTGCACTTACGCAGTTGCATAAAAAATAATAATTATTATGTATAATAATATAAGAATAATACGTAATTTCACAAAACTAATATAGTACAGTACTTACTTTCTTCATAAGCAGCGACACAATGGACATCTCTGGGGGCAGAAACTGTTCCCTGTATGCTGGCTTTGTCTCCCCATCACTAGAGAAGCCACGTGGATCCTGGAAGCCCAGCTGACCTAGAAGTTTCATGTTGAACTTGATGCGAGTCTTATGAAGGTTTGATATTGTTGACAAAATTCTTTCTCCACTCACTGAAGCTCCGCCACCAGCTTCCCTCTCTGTAGAGCTTTGATTCTGAGAAAAATACCATCACCGTATTGATTAACGCAAAAAAATACTAATTAAACCAAAAACCTAACACCAACAAATTTTCCTGAAATGATTCTGTAACCGACCATCATCTCAGCATCCTACAAAAGTCAGCCCCCTGAACTTGAAACTATGAGACATCCAATGCTGAGGTTCAACTTTACTCGAAGATAATCGTTTCAGGAATGACTAAATTAGCAATTTTTTACATTAAATATCTAACTGGTAAATACTTGTAGTAAAAAATCCGTGTCAACCAATTTGATACCAAACCCAAATAAAACAAGAGTACATGGCAAATATATTATTAGGACAAAGTAGGAAAAAAGAGGAATTAGATCTCTAAAAGGAAAGATATTTAGGGCATTGAACCATAACATGCCCAACTGTAAGGAAGATTTGTTACAGTCAAGCATGTATAACCAATTATAAAATTAGCTTAATATTCATGGGAAAATAATGATTTCTTCAACACATACCATAATAATCAACTTGACTACCAAAATGATATCAGCAAAGAAAACAATAACCTGTTTATATATAATTCACATACTGTGATTTGATGCCATTGCTATCAACTTACAGGCAGGACATTGGTTATAACTTTTAGAAGTTTCTTAACTCCACCGCCAAAGAGTGTTGCCCAATCCTTTTCAGTTAGCGGTCTGGCGACAAGACGATGCAAAACATAAGCATCGCTCGCTGCCAAGCCATGGACTAGAAGACTCAGATACACCGCAACAAAGGCTTCACAGAGGAGGAGATTTAGTTTCGGGGTGTCTTCATCACGTTCTCGAGCCACCAAAGCTAGCAGGGACGTCACACCTGCAATGAAACAGTGTCGTAAATGATGTTGGATCCATGCAATGAATGCAAATATGTTTTCATAGTGGGTGGACAAATGCCGCAATGAATGCATAGATGGATAGAGAGATGGATGAATCACATGATACATGGATGCATAGTGGGATGGATGGATGGATGCCATGATATATGAATGAAGAGAGGGATGGATGACATAATACATTATGCTGGGGAAGGAGATGGATGACACAATATATGGATGACAAAATATATTATGTTGGGGCAGGATGTATGGATGATATAATATATGGATGAATAGTGGGATGGATAGATGCCATGATATATAGATAGTTAATCAGTGGGATGGATGAATTACATTATAATTCATAATGTATCCGTCCCATAATGTATGGGATGGATACATTATGTTGGGGGAGGGAGATGGATAACACGATATATGTATGAATAGAGGAATGGATATATATGCCATGGTACATGGATGAACAATGGAATAGATGAATGAAGGGATACATGGATGCCACGATAAATAAATAGTGGGATGAATGGACAACAAAATGAATGGATGAAAAGTGGGATGGATAAATTGATTTACAAATAAAGGACAGGTGATGGTTTGGAAAGGGTGCACATGTTGAACAAGCTGTAAGAATTAGGTGATGCTTCAGAGTTTGTCCAATTGGAATGAGCGGCTGCTAACAAGAGCCAAAAGAGACAACATTGAGACAAGCCTTTACCAGGGAGAAACCTTTCCTTTATGGACGAGTGTCTTTCAGTCTGAAACGAACAAAATGTATGCAACAGGGGCTCGTCCTTGATTGGTGTCTTCTCTCACTGCAGAAGTTACTAGGTGTGTGATGGCAGGTAATGAGCATGGGGGGAAAATTCCTGTATTTTGTTAGAGAGGCTTGAGGAGGAAATATTAGGTCGGAGAGGGCAGAAGGGAAATATTATGTTGGAGAGGCCAGAAGGGAAATATTAAGTTGGAGAGGCCAGAAGGAAAATATTCTGTTGGAGAGGCTTGAGGGGAAATATTATAATTCATTGTGTCGGGGGACAGGAAGCCAGAGTGTGTTCAAACACTTTTGGCTTTTATTGAGGCCCCCTCCCCCCCAAGGCCGAATTACTGACCCCGCCTAGGATTCAGCCCCACAACAAGCTGACTCCCTCCCTCCTGAGTACCTACTCACTGTTAGGTAAACAAGAGGCATTAGGTAAAAGGAAATGTGCCCAACCATTTCTGTCTTGCCCGAGATTCGAACCCGGAATTCTCAATTGTGCATCAAAAACAAACCCGACTGTACTACCGAGACCCAAATTATGTTGGAGAGGCAAAAGTAAAATATTAGCTTGTTAGCTTGAGTTTAGGAAAAGAATTTTTATATGGCTAAACTTTATGACAGTCTGCTCGCACATAACATTATACAATTATCATTTACCGGGCCATTTGGCAGGAGCCGTGCACACTGCGAGCGGCTCGTCGTCATGAGGGGTTCCAGTGCGCGGATCACGTCCTACTAAATGAGACTCACGGTGAGCTACTGTCACATGCTGAATATCCACTCCCAAGGCAGCTACTCTGTAGGGTAAATGAAAGAGTTACTCGAGTGTCAACCTTAGAGAATTCAAGTACACTTCATGCTGCACTAATTGTCAATAAGGAAGCACAATTCAGTAGTAACATTAGTGAGAATATCAATTCGAGCAATGATGTGACCTGAACCAGCAATCAAGGAACTCCCAACCCCACACCATACCCCGGTACCACGACTTCACATGAGTTATACTACCTGGGATTCCACTGAATCCAGTAAATCTGGAGGCTTCTACTGAAGCCAATCCAAATTTTACATATAACCTCCATGCACTCTGGTGTACGTAATGTAGTTTAACAAAAGTATGCTCTAGTAACATTAATGCTCCTTTAACCCTCACACCATTCTAAATGCTTTCTGCAATTTCCTCCTGTATGCCAAGCACTATCTGCAATTTCCTTCACTACTCCAATAGCTATCAATGATTTTCTCCTGTATTCCAATTGCCATGAGTGATTTTCCTCATTTGTTTTGTTAAGTATTTTCAGAAATATGCACCTGGATGTAGTGCTTTAAATAGCTGCACCGGTTAGAGGTTAAATCCCCTATAATTACTGGGTGCACTGAGGGAAGGGGGGGCACTTGTTAGCAACGGAGGGAGAAATTCATAGGAAAATGGGGATTAAGAAACCAATTAGCACCTTATCTTTAATATTCACTAATTAATTTTCCATAATAAAAAATCATTATTATTTTTACGTATTTCTCCACTCCTTTACCCATGGGTTCCTAGCTATGCTCATGCTTATATGTGTAAATTACCTATGTGTAATTATCTAAGTGTAGTTACAGGATGAGAGCTACGCTCGTGGTGTCCCGTCTTCCCAGCACTCTTTGTCATATAACGCTTTGAAACTACTGACGGTCTTGGCCGCCACCACCTTCTCACCTAACTTGTTCCAACCGTTTACCACTCTGTTTGCGAAAGTGAATTTTCTTATATTTCTTCGGCATCTTTGTTTAGTTAGTTTAAATTTATGACCTCTTGTTCTTTAAGTTCCAGGTCTCAGGAAATCTACCCTATCGATTTTGTCAATTCCTGTTACTATTTTGTACGTAGTGATCATATCACCTCTTTTTCTTCTGTCTTCTAGTTTTGGCATATTTAATGCTTCTAACCTCTCCTCGTAGCTCTTGCCCTTCATTCTGGGAGCCACTTAGTAGCATGTCTTTGCACCTTTTCCAGTTTGTTGATGTGCTTCTTAAGATATGGGCACCACACAACCGCTGCATATTCCAGCTTTGGCCTAACAAAAGTCGTGAACAATTTCTTTAGTATTTCGCCATCCATGTTTTTAAAAGCAATTCTGAAGTTAGAAAGCGTAACATAAGCTCCTCGCACAATATTCTTTATGTGGTCCTCAGGTGATAGTTTTCTATCTAGAACCACCCCCTAGATCTTTTTCTTTATCAGAATTCTTTAAAGATTTCTAACATAATTTATAGGTTGTGTGGGGCCCGCTCCCTATCTCGCCTGCTTGCTCCCTCTCTTGCCCACTCGCTCCCCTCTCCCGCTCGCTCGCTCCCTCACTCGCCTGCCCGCTCCCCCTCTCGCCTGCCTGCTCCTTTTCTCGCCTGCTTGCTCCCTCTCTCTTGACTGATCGCTCCCTCTCTTGCCTGCTTGTTCCCTCTCTTGCCTGTTCTCTCCCTCTCTCTTGCTTGTTTGCTCCCTCTTTCGCCCCCTCCCTTCCCTCCCACTCTCGCCCAATCCCTCCCACTCTCGCCCAATCCTTCCCTCTCTCGACCACTCCTCCTTTCTCTCATCCATTCCCTCCCTTTCTTGCCCACTTGCTCCTTCTCTCTCACCCATTCTCTCTTTCTGTTAAAGCTAAATTTTGCCAATAAATTCCTATTCAGTCACAGGAATTTGTAACCTTAATAATCAAGTTGAGAAATCATAAATGCACGTATACAGTACCTATGGTGAGTCTTGACGGTGAAAGTCTCAGAGTCACAAAGTGACTGGTATATACAGGCAGATAATGCAGCTGCCAAGTTGCGCAGGACAGTGGCATGGTGCATAAGTCGCGTGTTAGACTGAGCAACCTCTGTTATTTCCACCAGGGACTGTAGCAGGTCATGAGTGCCAGCCTGTGCGAATAAAAATATGTTAGAACAACTAAAATTATTAGATACAGTAGCTCTAGATTTTTTACTAGGTTAAATCCCAGAATAAATCAAATGATTAATGAAATGCCCAATTTTGGCGGATCACTCGGTAGCTCCACGTAACCGAGCTTCAGGAAGCTACTGACAGGCCCCTCGCAGAGAAGGAAGTGAAATCAGAACTTTTAAGAAATGGATTTGAAATTAAAAAAGAGGCAACCACCATGACTGAAAAAATGAGACAAGAAATAATAAGCTGGCTGACTCAAATTCAAATAATAAAATTAAAAACACCAAGACATTTTTTAGTTAAGAATTGAATTTTGGTCCCTTAGATCACTTAACCAGGTTTGATATCCAGTTTGCTTTTCATCACTATAAAAACAATATAGTTTTAAACTCTTAAAGTGAGTACCATTAAGATCAAATGTTGTGTCTGGAAAGAATATCTTTAAACACACAATACTATTGTACCATCCCAGAGAAAACTGGATAACATAGCTACCTGTAAATGGCGAACAGGATCAGACACTACAGTCTTGTTGGAAGCAATAGATGCAGACAATAATGGCAGGGTGGTAGGGAATGGCAGTGGAGACAGTAGTTGTTGCTTGCTGTTCTCCTGCTGTAGTTCCTGTAGCAGTAATATCAACTCCATTCTAACCGAGGCCAGGCCACCGCCGCTGGACCCGTGCAGTGAGCAGTAACTCAACAGAGTCCTCAGCAATTGTTGATTAGCTGCAGAGTAACAAATCAATAATGAGATGTCAGGCTTACCACTCATGCACATTATCCTCTTAATACCGTACGCCTTCGTTACCGACAACTCTGTATCTGGATGAGCTAAAATAGAATTTAATACAAGTCTCAGAATTTGTTAGGACTTTCCTTTTGGTTTCAGCTGTTAAGCAAACTATGGTAGTTTTGTATTTAGAGTACAGTATTTTAAAACACAATACAAAGAACCTGGTACCAAAGCTTAAAAATAGTAAAATATATATATATGTGCTTTAGTTTTAGATTTTAGGCATAATGAAATATAAAACAATGAAGTTAATATTTATATAAGTGTGTACTGTATATATTAATGTACATGAACATGTGTGTGTGTACACATCATCTGTGAGTCTTAGGGCTTAGGGCTTAATCGATGTGCTGACGCACTTAAGTTTCAAGCTCTTGGTAACTTGCTTCAGTTTCATATTTATTCTGAAGTAGAATTCTCTCTTTTTTTTGTTATCCTCCTCCTCCTCCTCTAGATGTGGAGCCACAAGAGACTTCACACAGAACCCCCATGTATGGGGATGCAGATTCAGTGTTGTGTTTGTCTGTCGGAGAATGCGAGGGGCTTCTGTGAATTCCAGAAACTTCAGGTTCATCCGCCTCAGTTTGTCATCAGGGGACTTCTACTATTCTGCCTCCTTTTCTTGCTCCTGGCATTGCTTTTGCTCCTTGGCAGGCACCTTCTCTTCTCTGGTTGATGAGGTTATCACATCTGAGGAGTTAGATGAGGAGTTGAGTTTGTTTCCACTTTCACCTTCCAAGGATTTGGTTTACCAACTTTGAATGTGTCGACCTTTTCATTAGTGGTTTTTGTACACTCATGCCCAGTTTCTGGTACTGTATAGATAATCTCCTGTTCCACCTCAAATATGGTTCGATATCCTCCTCGAAAGTGTCTGGCTTCCACATCTGTTAACTTCAGGCTTTACTTACTCATATGGTATTGTGATGCCTTTGGTTCAACTCTGGTTTGCTCCCTTCTTTCCAGTGGAAGATATAAGTCCTTGTGGCAAGGCCCTAATCAGGAGTTGGCATGATTTGTGCAGTCCTCTTTTCGTTATCTTATAAGCCCAGAGACTGCTTGCAACTGATGTCTTTGGGTGTCGCAGTTCTTAGAGTCTGATGCTTTGTTCCTCTAATCATGGACTATACATACCTGTTCTGGGGCTCCTATGGCGACTGACAGTTCTCTATTGGCAGTGGGAGCATCCACAGACCCATGCTCTAAGCCAGTTGATCACTGTTGAGGCATTCTTCCCCACCTTAGCCAGTGCAGACGTTGATGTCCGGGACTGTTGGTGGACCAATCGCTCCCCAGCAACCCAGGGCAGAGATGGCCCTGTGGCACTGGGCCATCTCTGCTTCTTTTCATTTACTCTATGACATGAAGGTAAGCCCTAGATGTCTACTACTTCAGCACTACTGTGCTCCTTGTTCTCTCCAGTTTACTCTGGTTCCACCATCCAGAATGGGCATGTTAACCTTTCTGATTTTTAATGTTCTATTTCTTCTCATAGCAGATGTTATGATTCTTGCCAGAATCCTACAGGGAAAAAGATGAATCATTCCATACATATATATACAATCATACATACATATACAGTCCAGTATGTCTAATTCAAAATGCTTTGGACGAAAGGTGTTTCAGTTTAACAAAGATTATGGTGTAGGAATGATTCATCTCTTTAACACTACATAATCACACATGGTATTATACATATATAATATTACCCAAAAGCCATCGCTTTCTCCTTGCAGCCCTCTCCATTTTATCCTCAAACTCAAGCTTCTCCTGCTGGAGGATCTCGTGTAGAGTTGCGGGCTCAGTCGCAGGCACCGAGGGCAGGGGCATTGGGTCACCAATTTCATCAGCAGGAATGGATTCTATAAGGTCGCTGTCTGTTGAAGAAGATATTGTATAAATATGTACAAACAGTTCATAAATATTCTGTTATGCTTGAGATATCATCATCTTTATAATGAACTGAGTCTCATAAGTAGTAATTAACATAAAATATATATGTACATAAGGAAAAGATATCAATGACTGAAATTCATCTCCTCCATTCAACACATCAACAAAGTTTATAGTCAGCCCTTTCCATAGTAATTTAAATTATAGTTTACCATTTTTGCAGATTGAAGAAGTTTAGCATAACAATATGTATTATAAGGATATAGTTACATTGCTTGTGATACCAGAGAATCATTTAAGAATGCCCATTCATCCTTACAACCACAGTGAATAACAGTAATAACATAGAACCAATTACAGTGTTTAAATAACAAAGACATTACAAAGTACAACACCACATATTTCATTCTTAATTAAAGGATAACAAGAAAAAGTAGTGAGTTAAACATGTTAGGGTCATAGTACAATTAATTACACACAGCCAAATGAAAATAATTACTGTACTGCAATTGAGCAGCACATGCATTTATCATAACATGCAGTTGAATGACAAATTTTCATTACAGTGCAGTACATGCATTCTATTCCAATATTTGTACAATATTATATTGTTAATAGTAAGGAGAAATGTTAGTTTAAAATATATAATACTATTTTAAAGGTCTATATTTACAACCCTTCACATTTAGTAAATAAATACATACATTTGTTTCCTTAAAGCACTATCTATCCTACCCATTGTCTGTGCTGCTCATATACAGAAGCCAAAAAACCAGCGTTGAATATAATGAAACGCCATTTTCTGGGTGAGACCCGGAGGCTCCCCAGAGCTTACTAGGCTGATATGCTAATGTCAGACTTTGGCATCAGTCATGTGTATGGAGTTCTATGGGCCTACCGGAGACCACGAGACAGAACCTGGCCCCATCAGAAGAGGCAAGGGAAGCAATGGCCTATAGAAACCCCCGTGTAGATGGGAGCATTCCATGTTTGCCATCGACTGGGTTAGGTACCCAGAGAGGTAAGCATCCCAAAACAAACTTTTATTCTGGTGAAAATATTGCTACCAAATCCAAACAAGTGGATAGAACTCCCCTAAAAGAGACAAGAAAATGATCATGACGTCACACGTCGCCGCGCCGCTGTCTGCATAGCTCACCCCTCCCTGGGAGGGGGAAGGGGGAGCCCCAGACCCCTCATACAAGTCCCTACGTTTAGGACAAAAGGGCAAAGACATCTTAGGAGCCAAGGTCCAGACCAATTCCAGAGAGGAGGCAAGCACCGCCTGTCGACACGCGAGCCGGGAAGCGTAAAACTGGGCAACCGCATCCCGCAAGATCTGTGCAAACAGTTTTAACAAGGCAGCCCAAGGCGTGAGCAGCCGAGCCCAAGGCAAACCCCGGAACGGCCCCGAGCGCCCCCACATCTTCCCCAAGCTAGTCCGAAGACAGCTCCAGGAGGGAAAAGAAGTGCAAGGCCGAAGCCAAGAGGCCCCTGGTGCGCAAATCCTCGGTCACCAGCACAGCTGAAAGGGCAGGAGCAAATAAGCTCTCATTGAGGTGCTCAAGGTCAACCCCCCCCCTCAGGAAAACCTGAACCACAGTCGAAACCTTGCGCCACTAAAATGTGCGGGATTGGCAGAAAGAATGCCAGGCCTCCAAGGCAAAGATAGGACAGTCCGCCAGCCAGGGCAACTCCAGAACCTCATAACGGACCCAGAAAGAGAACGAAGTCCCAAACCTGAAAGATGACGGATTCATCACTGTGGCATAATCTGGGTCACGCAGGAGGTAAGCCGCTAGGGCCGCCCGCACCGCAGACAGTTGGATGCGGGAAGCCGAAAACCTCCGGAAAAATGGAACCGCCGCACCCAAGGGAACACGAGGAGGGGCAGACACCAAATCCAAGTCGTATGCAGTGGGGGGGGGGGGGGGGGGGGGTTGAGAGAGAACCCCGCTCCTTGTAACAATAAGCCCAGCCCCGAGGGTAGAAAAATCCAGGCGGGGTCCAGCAGGGCCCAAGGCCCCCAAGTCAGCCCCTCTCCAGCCCCAGGAGCCCCCTCCTCGGGACCCGGGGCCGAGTCATCCCCAGAGCACCGGCTCCTAAAGAATAGGCTGGCGCAGCCAAGTAAGTCGAACAAAAGGGGGCCCACTGGTCAAACCCAGAGGCTTCGACAGGGAGATCAGACTCGAAGGCCTCCGTCACCACACTGGAAGGGACATCCCTGAGACCGCCCGAGACTCAAGACCATCTAAACCCCGCCCCGACTCCGAAACTCTCTGATTCTTTGGAGCCGGAAGCAGAGAAAGGGGGAAGGGGGGGAGGGGGACCAGAAAAAACCACCGAAGGGGAAGGATGAGGGGGCGTGGACTGAACCAGGGTCGAAGTGACCCCCACCCCCAAGTCCAGGTCCCTATAGGCAAAACAGGGCAGCCTCGGGGCATCCGGGTGAGCAACCAACCTAGCGCGTTGCAACAGCCGAAAGCGTACATGCAACGCCTGCGCCGTCTGTACCCGTAGAAGATCATCATTAGACTGGGTAAATTGAGTCACCAGCAAGCAACAGAACTTGCAGAACTCGGGGTCGAAAGTGTCACCGACCCAAGAGGCAGCGTGACGGAGGCAAAAACCGTGAGGGTCACCCTGAGTCAAGGGGGACCGAGCAACCCTCAAACTCGCATGGAGTGAGGGGCAGGGAATCCGGGGACACATCCATCGGACACACACGCCCCCTTGGGGATTTGCAGGGTCCTGAGCGTTTACCAACAGGGACTCATGCCCAGGTAATCCCAGGCAGGGTACTACTAACCAGCGCCCACAACTACCAAACAACTATCTAAAAGCTGAACCCCAGGGATGTGTACACTCACGGGGACCTAGCAGGGGGCTCCACCAGAAAAGAACAGTGCACAGGTCAGGCACAATTAGGGAAGCAAGGCGGACCCCCCCCCCAACCCCCCTGCAAGGCAAAAAGAACAAAAAAAAATCCCGCAAGAGGACAACATACCCCAAGGAACAGAACCGGCCGCTGTGAGTAGTGAAAACAAGCTACGCAGCACCCTGTACCCCACCAGTGCAAACTGCCTCTTACCTTAAGGTAAACAAGGAAAACAAAACCCCAAGCAAGCACCCAAAGAGCGGCCGAAAAACCAAGCAGTAATACGGCCTAGCAGAGGCAGGCCTCCAGGAGCTTGTGGAAGGTGGCCCCAAACTCCAAGGGCAGTACTTATAGGGCACCTAGGGACGATAACCCTAGGCGCATGCAGCCCGAGTACCATAGAATAACTCCTGACTCTCACACCCCTAGAAGACAGCCACCACACTCTAAGCACAGTGCTGAAAATGCTGGAGCCAAGCACACGACTTCCACCTCTAGCATCAGCCTGAGAACTAAAGGGTGGATAGCTGGCATGAGAGGTCTAGAGCTCCCCCTTCCCCCTCCCGGGGAGGGGGGGAGCTGTGCAGACAGCTGCGTGGCGACATGTGACGTCATGATCGTTTGCTCGTCTCTTTTTAGGGGAGTTCTATCCACTTGTTTGGCTTTTGGTAGCAATATTTTCACCCAAAATGAGGTTTGTTTTGGGATGCATACCTTTCTGGGTGCCTGATCCGGTTGATGGCAGACATAGTATGCTTCGAACCACACGGGGGTTTCTATAGGCCATTGCTCTCCTTGCCTCTCGGAGGGGGCCAGGTTCTGGCTCGTGGTCCCCGGTAGGCCCATAGAACACCATATACATGACTGATGCCAAAGTCTGACATTAGCATATCAGCCTAGTAAGCTCCGGGGAGCCGAAGGGGCTCCCCCCAGAAAACATTAATTTCTCATTAACTTATAAATGAGCAAAAACAGGAGATGAAAAGTATTTTGATAACAAAAAGGCTGAATGACCTTAACTCTATGCTAGTATCCTTAGGGAATCAAACCTCATTAACACTCCTGGGGTGTTTTATCACACCAATTAACAAATTACCAAACAATAACTTTACTGTCATTTATGTAATTTAACATTCTGGTATTCAGTTATTTTATGATTTTCTGAATCAGCAGTTTGACCATGGGTGAATGGTTTGTTTGGGGTGTTTCAAAACACCAGGGTACTAACTTAAAACACTGCATCTCAAGATGTAGTCTTTCCCAAATGCTAGTTAGACTATTTATTTATTTATTTATTTATTTATTTATTTATTTATTTAATTTATTTATTTATTTATTAACATACAATGGGTTATGAAAATTATATACTATTTCCGAGGGACCATCGAACCCTAACTTCAAATGAATGTGTCCTTGTATAAAAATTCCCAGACGCAGAAAAAGAATGTATTCATGAGATGTAACACAGACCTTGGCCAAGATTTATCAAGAGTTAAATTCAGATGTCTATGTACAAGACCTGTACAGTACATCATACTTCAGTCATGAGGTCAGCTGCGTCTATATTCATTAAACACTTTATGACTTTGAAACTGCGAGGTCGTTCTCGACACAAAGTTGTTGTTGTTGTTATAGATGACCTTGTAGCACTTTGGAGCTTGTAAACTGTTTAGTAAATAAGTAGGTAAGATGTACAGGTCTCAAGTGGACATTTAAGTGCTAGATGAATACAGGTTGTGGGTGTAAAGATCAAACTGGCAGTCCAACTATAGGTTCAAGGCACACCTAAGACACGTACAACACTGGCAAATCACTTCTTCCCCCAACACTAAAAAAGCACACGTGTTGGGATTGTGAGAGAGACCATCGGGCGCTACATTTCATACATCTTCATCCACACATGACAATTAACAACAATTAATGAGTTTTGAGGCTGCCTAATACTTTTGTGCCATGATGATGCATATATGTGGCATAAAACCAAAATACGCGGAGTTGGTAATGATGCAAATGCAAATTATGCATCATTATAAATGATGCATCATCATACCATTATCATGCATCATCATATAAATGATGCAAATTTAAAAATTTGTAAAAATTATT